CCGATCTATGTGTTGTATAGAAATTCCTCGGTCGGCCAGCTCTGCGTACTTGCTGAGCATAAGGAAGAGCTTGTACACGTACGGAGAGAGCTGGGCCTGACACACCTCGTAGAAGCGGCAGAAGTCCACCGTCAACGAGGGAAGGGGAAGCGTGTATCCAATGACAAATGGATATGCGTAGAACAAATAGTAGCCCGAACGATATATATGCACTATGTCTCGACCCGTCTGAACTAGCTTAATGTGATCGGGAATCCTCCATTTGACTTTGAATGCCATGAGCGCCACAACATCCATCGTCGAGAAAACAGGTTCCGACTCATCTATCATCGGAATACTCTCATCTATCGTCTTCCCAGGATGGGGAACCACCTCATCTATCGTCGGAAAACTCTCATCTTCCACCGGACCCACTCCCTCTTCGATTAGGGGTACATTATTTTTCGGCACCGGAGCATCAACGGCTCAATCAGAGTTGGAAGAAACACCAGCCAAATTTTTTCTTTGGTTGAAAGAAACGAGAATGATAAGGGAAAAAAATAGTGGTCACAACAAATCCTAACAGAAATAGGAATATGAGAAACTGAAGGAAAAGAAGAGTTGCAAAATATCTCTTGAGCGATTAAAAAGCGTAACATTCAAATGAAGGATTCTCCCCTATTTATAGGGATATAAATGCCCTCAGCGAGAAAACCAAATGTCGCCATTTAGAAAATGGAAAGGGTACGACAAACGACGCAATGCATAGAAAACGTGTGCCATAATAACGCATGAGAAGTATTAATAATATTCTGAACTGACGTGGTGGTCTGATGCAGGTCTCTAAACGTCACGTCGCTACCTCGCCATGAGGTGCTCGTCTCTCGTGTAAAGCATTCAGATTTCTCCCAATTTTCGAATCAACATAGTCCGCCCATCGAGCTCACCCAGAGGCGACCCCAACTAGCGGAGGGACTAACTGTATGGGCCAAAATCTGACCTAACAAGAATCGGCGTGGAAAGGGACGACGAAGAGTTACTTGGGACAGTTGTATCCATACAACGCTATAACGACATGCACCTCGGCCACGGCCGAGGTCACGTATTCAAAATACGTGGAGGCGAATTGGATATTACGGCATTTCAAGGGGCCAACCCGTAATATAGTCAAACGACCTGGGTACTATGGTTAATGACCGTTGGGTAAAGGAGAAGACCTAGTATATAAACTAAGTGATAAGAGGAAGAAGGGGGGCCGAAAAAAAATGGAGACACAGACATATTTCCAGAAAGGAGGAGAGATCTCTCCACCACGAAGGATAAAGAAGCAAGGAAGCTCAGTTCTTCAATACATATCGTTAGTCTCATCATATCAAATGTATGAGGTTCTACCTTGTTAAAGAACGGTGACCTTTCTCATTAATGTTTTCTTAATTGTTGTTTAATATTATGAAAATTACCATCCTCCTCTTATATAATGAGATTCAATCAGTGTTATAGTTAAATCTTATGTGTGCTATGCTTGCTCATTCTTATCTTCTATTTTAGATCTAGGGTAAATTATCTTGGGCTAAGATTTACCTAAAATCTTCTTATTTAATTAGTTTAACACTTTTTGGTCACACTTCTACGCAACATCGTTTGCAAATAGTTGTTGTGTACTCAACTGTCGCCTTTTGTGTGCTTTACTTAGGCTCTGTTTCGGGTCTCTTCATTATTACTTCGTCTCTCTCATTTTTAGCTTTTGGTTAGATTTTCAGATTTTTCTATTTGCTCTTTCTTTTCCCCTTTTCGTACCTGTGACATGCGCTGAGTTTTTTTCGTGTTTCTTTCTTTCTTTTTTGTTTTCTCCCTATTTTCTTGGTGGAATGTGTACATGCATGTGAATTCTGTTATATATTCTGTTTAATGTTTAATTTCTTGTCAGTTCCTAACACTTTTATTGTAAATCCACTTGTATTATTACCAAACACTACTAATGCCCGTAATGTATTTGATAAAATATCTTATAGGAAAACTTTACCTACTGCTACAGGAGACGACACCGACAATGTACTGATACTCCTACAAAAGTAACACAAAACCAATCGTATTGCGCAGCACTAACTGCTATATGATGAGCACGACGACTGGACTTGTGGGCATTAGTTGGCTGTAATTTTGTATCCCAGTTAATTTGATAAAGATTTATCAAACTTTTAGTTATTTCCAGATATTTAATTTTGGTTTGCCTATGTATCATTATCTTACGTTACCAAGTTATTATGGATCTTAAATCACATGAAAATTAGATTATGCCATTATATTCATGCAGAGCTGGCTATCCTAAATCCAATCGGGAAAAATTTAATGCTTGGCAGCTTCTAAGGGCTTGATTCTCATACAATAAAGATGATTTAGTCATAGATCAACCCTCAATCAGTTGAAGAAATGCTTGTAAGTAGTTCTTAGAAAATTGTAGTTGTGATTTGTGAATTTGATATATAGTGCTTAATTAGTCGGTAAAAGGAGAAAAAATTAAATTCATAATAAACCATTTGTCTATTTGTTTCGCGAGGTTGCTCGCTATATGGACCAACTTCAGATGAGCTACTGGAAAGATAGATGCTCTACTTTTCAACTGTACTACAAGCAAGATGGTCTTTATATTTGCACTATTTTTATTTTCAATAGATTTTCTACAATACATTTATCTATCATTCAACAAAGGCATACACTTATTATTTATAGTAGGCAATATCTGTAAACAATACGTGCATTTTTATTATTGTGTTAAAGAAGCATGTTTCAAATGTATGCCATTTGCTTGCATAAGCATTTTGCAGATTGTTCTCTCTATCTCTTGTGACAATTGTGTTGGTTAATAACATGTTTGTATTAGTTACTACTATTCAGATGTGATGTGACTCTTCATATTCTAGGGTACTTATCTCCCTTAATTATATGAGACAACATAATAATTGGTCCACATATATATTTGCATATTCTGTAATACGGCTGAACAAAGATGTGAGTTCACGTCATTATATAATTATGGCTTTGAAGTTTACTTGAAACTTGATTTTTGCTCCTTAGTGTCAAGTAGTACAACATACATGCATTCACTGTGGGGTTATACAAGGAAATACGACTGTTCAACATGCATCTTCTCTGATGATGATGTAATAGCCTATTTGGCCAAGCTTGTTTTTGGGCTAAAAGTTTTTGCCAAAAATATTTTTTCCCAAAAATTGAGGTTAGAAGGAAAAAAGTGTTTTTGAGGAGAAGCAGAAGCACTTTATGAGAAGCAGAAAAAGTAGTTTCTCTCTAAAAGCACTTTTGAGAAAAATATACTTAGAAGCAGTTTTTAAAAACTTGACCAAACACTAATTACTACTCAAAAGTGTTTTTCAAATTAATTATCCAAACACAAACTATTTATTATCAAAAGCATTTTTTTGAAAAGTAATTTTGAGAAAAGCACTTTTCAAAATAAGCTGATTTTAGAAGCTTGGCCAAACAGGCTATAAGTCTCTTTAAATCTTTCTATAGTGATTCTTGCTCATTATGTTTTATACTCTTAAGCAAAATAATTTCTATCTTAAGTTTAAAGAATCATTATCGTTGTGATAAATGTAGAATATGTAATTAAAGTCTTTTCCCTTTTGTTGTTCATTTTGGCTGATCAATTTTTCAAAAGCTTCCAATTCATACGAACAAATGGTTGATTGTATCTCAGACATGTCTCTTCACATTTCAAAAATATATCTCCTAAGGAGCATGAAGTTTCATTACTGAAAAAACACTTGCATTTTTGGTACCTACTTTTCCTAGTAAGCTCTGCATGTTTAGTCAGTAAAATTGTCATACCTCCATGGTGGGATTAGTTAACCTACTATGCAACTTTTCATATAACTTATTAAACAACTCTCTTATGTATCTCATTTCGTCAACCAAAATGCTATTAGATAAAAAAAGAGAAGGAAGAGGTGAAGAACATTCTGTTTCATTTCTCATGAAACATGTTTAGAATTCGAAATACTAAAATGAGGATATGTAGTTCATATAAGCACATATTTGGAATATGAATCTCCCGATTGTTGCAGAGTATCTTCATCCAGCCAAGCTTTTGGTGGGCTTAAGAGATCTCATGTTATTGTTGTAACTCTTTGCAGCAGGTGTGTGTCTTTCTTTTAGTACTGCTTCAGCAGAACCAGTATCATCAACAACTGACGGGACTATTATAAATCTCGACATTTCTGCTCCATTGGAAGAATGAAATTAGTCTGATTGAGCTTTCTGCAGTTTCTGATACTGAGTTTGTCAACGCTATCAAGCATTGAAATGAAATTATTCTTACAGTTGAAAGAACGCATGAATTAGAGGTAAAGTTATGTTCTTTTCCCCTTTCAACTTTTAGGTTGGATCCAAGATAATTGATTAGTAAGTTTTCGTGCTAAAATATGGCATCATTTGTAGTTTTACCTATTAAATAGATTGACTGTATTTTGTTTGGCATCATTTGTTGTTTTACCTATTAAATAGATTGTCTGTGATTTGTTCGCCTCAAAGTCTATCCTGTTAATGTGAGATCTAATTTTACCACATCAACCAGTAGGAAAGACCACAAGAGTTCACTTCACTTTTTTACGGTCATATTCGTAATCCAAATTGTTTACTAGGTTGCCTACAATGCGGATTAAAAAAAAGGCATGTCTTTAATGAGTGGTATACTATTGCTAACAGCCTACTAATGATCCACCTGCTGAATTCAAGTCCAATTTCCTTTTTTCTTCACTGTTGTTAGCAATCCTAGCCAAGTACAGGTGAATATGCCATGCATGGGAATACAAATGTCTGATATGTGAGGATTATGCGCATAGAAAAAGAGAATTTTCTATTTCTTTGTGCTCAATTAGGAGTAAAAATGAAGAAACTCAAATTTTAAACAAATATATGTACTCCCTTAGTCCGAGCAACCAGTTTATTGTTTTGGGGGTGGGGGCTATGACAATAAGTTACTGAAGATTGTTTCACCTTTTACAAAGAAAATGTGTTCCATTTTTTAAATAAAGAAAATGATTACATTTTCTCATGCATTCTTTTTCTATAATTGTGGAACTCCAAATTTCTGTTCAAGTTTGATTTCAACTTTGTTTGGGAATGAGATTTATTTCATTTTCTTTCTGGTCGACTGACATCTCCATCATTGCTTTTCATGTCTGGTAAGTGTTGAATCGATATCAGCATATAGTTTTATTAATCTGTTTACATGTTCTCAGAGTTGGTACAAAATCCTTTGTTACCTTTTTCTACAAGAGGATCGCTTAAAAATGATAATCGCAAGGTTTTACTATAGTCTAAACCACGTGTTATGGTGGCACCTCTAGGTTTTCTCTCAAGGACAGAGAGTGATCAAGTGATCAATACATTGCCGAGTCCAACAGAGTATGCAAACCCAACCTACAAGACAAGGCAACTTGACAGCAATAAGTTTTGAGCAACTATAGAGTTTCAACAAATGCGGAACAGTGAGACAGATTTGCAACGACAAGAAGCAAGCTGAAAAATGCAATAATTGAAGCTTTGGACATGTTACTGGAGAGGAACCACTCTCCTGTTCCTTTTTTGCACATATTGGGAAGAAAACGAAAATTATACCCATATTGTATGGAAACTCTATCAAAATTTTAATCTTAATATGGAGCATCATTTATAGTTGCATCGCCAAGTTAAAAAAAAATAATGTTGGGCCCGGGCATAGCACGGGCATCATCTCTCTAGTCTTAGATAAGTGAAGCAAATAACAACTTTTTATTGAAAAATATTAGAATTAAAATGCACATGATACATGAGATGCGGCTGTCATGATCCAAAAATCCTAACATGTCGTGATGGCGCCTAACATGGTACTAGGCAAACCAACATTTCCAAGATACTTCCAACATTTAACAGAAAATGAATCAAAGTAGTTTTAAATAACAAAAATTCTCATAAACGGGGTAGAAACCCAAAACGTAACGCGGAAACTCCCGACATCGGAGTGTCACTGAGTTCATGAGCATCTATACATCACAAGTTTGGAAAAGAACAATGAAATTCTAGATCTAAATACAATAAACGTAAAGATAGTGAAGGAGAGACAAGGTCTGCGAAAACACCGGGCAACTACCTCGAAATCTCCAAAACGGTCAACTGAGCAAAAGAAGTCAACACGCTCCATGACCGGAAATAACTGGTTCTGCATACGAAATGTAGGGTATAGTGTGAGTACAACCAACTCAATAAGTAACAAGAATAAATAAAGAACTAAAAGTAGTGACGAGCTCTACAATTATAGTTCAGTTTCAATCATTTCAAGATATGAAAGTAGGCATGCTTTCAAATTTGACAATTTCAGGTCAAATTAGTTACCTCATGTCAAGTTCAAGTAAAACAGAATATAATATGTTTCAAAAAACTTCAAGTCAGTGATATATGGCAGCTAAGTGCAACAATAATAAAATCAAAAGCATCCTTTCAGATCAAAAGTCACTCAGTCTTTCTCAATAGCTCAGCACTCGGCACTCGCACTCAGTAGGTACATGTGCTCACTGGGGTGTACAGACTCTGGAGGGGCTCCTACAGACCAGGCACTATAATCTGCACGGACAACTCACGTGCTATAATATCAATATTTGGATCCACACGGATAACTCACGTGCTGCACGGATAACTCACGTGCTATAGTATCAATATCTGGATCCGCACGAATAACTCACGTGCTGCACTGACAATTCACGTGCTATATTATCAATATCCTCACAAATCGAGCCCTCGGCCTCACTAAGTCATCAACCTCCCCAGTCTTTCGAGCTCTTGATAATCATAAAAATCATCCCGAAACAGATATGATATAATACATCAACAAGGAATAATAGAGACTAAGATATGATATGCAAGTAAAATTGAGACTGAGTACATGTAGCAATTAACAGATAGTTCAACAGGTAACACGACTTCTGTGGGTCCCTGCAGTACCAAAACATAGCCTAAATATGATTTCTGATTTGATTTTGCAGTCAATTTTCTATAACACAAGGAGAGTACGTAGCTAACAAGTTATTCAACTTCACAGTTCCATGGAATGGACCAAGTCACAATTTCTACGGTGCACACCCACACGCCCGTTACCTAGCATGTGCGTCACCTCCAAACCAATCACAAGACATATAATACGAGGTCTTATACTATCAGAACTAGATTTAGAACTATTACTTACCTCAATCCGATAAAATCTCTACTCCAACACACCTTTGCCTCGCAAATCGGCCTCTGAATGCCTCGAATCTAACCCAAACAATACGATTCAATCAACATGGGTTAAATGAATCAATTCCACAAGAAAATACGAAGTTATAAATCAAAAATCCTAAATCGGCTCCAAGCTGACCCCCGGGCCCACGTCTCGTAATCTAACAAAAGTCACAAAACTCGAAAGCTCATTCCACCACGAGTCTAACCACACCAAAATTATCAAAATCTGACACAATATCGCCACCCAAATCCCCAAATCAAACTCTCCAAATCCTAAGCCTCAAACCCCCAAATTTCACTTCAAAACCACACAATCTCGGCAGGAAAATCAATGGGGAAATAAGATTATTGATCAAAATGGGAACAAGGGAATTACTTCAAGAATTCACTCGAAAACCCTCTCAAAAATTGCCTTAGACCAAGCTTGTAATGTCCAAAAGGAAGAAAAATCGCGAACCTTTGAATTTATATGTTCTTCCCAGTCATTCCGCTTCTACGGAAACTTAACCGCTTTTGCGGCATCACAGAAGCAAAATTTCGACCACATCTGTGGCTCCATCCGCTTTTGCAGTCCCTCAACATGCTCCTGCAGACTCGCTTCTGCAAGCAACAACTCTACTTCTGCGGAACCAACTCCCCCCTCCATTTCCGCTTCTGCGCCAAATGCACCGCACCTGCAGCCTCGCAAGTGCGGAAAGAACCTCGCACCTACGACCTCTGGTTATTTCCTTCTTGGCCGCTTATGCGGTTCCCTTCTCGCTTATGTGAGCTCGCATCTGCAGTGCCCACTCCCAGGTGCGATTACACTAGCAGATGCCAATCTTCAGCAATTCTTTAAGTTAAAAACTTGATCTGTTAACCACATGAAATCCACCTGAGACCCCCGAGACCTCAACCAATCATACAATCCAGTCCTAAAACACGATAAGGACGTAGTCGAGCCTTAGAATCACCTCAAACAACATCAAAAACATGAATCACACCCTAATTTAAACCTATTGAAACTAAGAAAATTCAATTTCTACAAACGACGCCGAAACCTATCAAATCACGTCCGAATGACCTCAAATTTTGCACACAAGTCACAAATAACGCCATGGACCTACTCCAACTTCCGGAATTCCAATCTGACATCGTTATAAAAAAGTCCACCATCGGTCAAACTTCCCAAATTTCCAACTTTCTCTATTTCAAGCCTTATTCAACTACGGACTCCAAATCACAATCCGGACATTCTCCTAAGCCCAAAATCACTCCACGGAGCTAATAGAACAATCAAAACTCCATTCCGGAGTCGTTTACACATAAGTCAATATGATTCTTTAGTATGTTACCAGGGGCTGAGCTCAATAGCAACTTACTCAAAGACTGCGGC